TTACTATATATATATATATATATATATATATATATATATATATATAGAGAGAGAGAGAGAGAGAGAGAGAGAGCTGTCAGTGGTATTAATTCCGCAGTTCTGTATGAAACATTAAGTGAAGAGAGAATATGGCATGTTTCCGTGGGAGGATGCTATGCATTAACTATTTGGGCAAGGGCTACTTGGATTTCTCTAATCTGAAATTTAGAGATCTACCCAAGAATCACCAAATGATTATTTCCAGAAAAACGATTTTGTGTTCTTCACTTAGATCTTGCCCTCCAAAGATTGGATTGCCCCCAGTAGAATTTTTTGGCATTATTTTTTTAAAGCACACAGAATGTGTGATATGAAGTTTTCTTCTTTTGGGTTTGGTCGATAGGTTAAAGAGGTTACATCCCAAAATTTGGAGTCCAAATAGTACTCTTAGCTTAGGTTTTGCTCAACGGAGCACACGGACAGTATGCTCCCACAGGAGCAACATATCTTCTCAGTTAAGTGGGTAACTGGATCACAGTTGTTCTTTAGTTTCGATTTCCTAGTCAACTAATTTATGATTACATGCAGACCTCAACATACCTCAGCAGCCATTTCAGGCATCTTGACATCCACACAGTCGGCATAAAACAAGACCTGCAAATGGACCTGCCCGATAAATAAATAATTCCTGTTGATCAGAAGCCTAGATACCATAAAATACAAGCCAAAATTGCGAAATACCTTATTTAGCAACTTAGTGTTTGATGCATCAGTGGCTAAGATCAGTACACCAAGACAAGTTTCAGAGCCATTACAGAAAGGACAAAGCACAGTCCTAAATACACAGCCATCTTCTTCACACCAAACACCATGGGGCAAATCAACTTCACTGGCACAGCTCTGGTGCAGTCTGTGATCAATTGATAAAACATCACAAATAATGACCTGTACATTTTTTTGTGCATCCTTAGCAATAGATTTTTGTTCATGGGTTTGGGTAGATTCATTTGGAAGAAGGGATGCGACATAGGATTTAGTAGATGAAATGAATGAGCAACTGACAAGGCACTGCTTCTCGACCAACCCCAATTCAGTTTTACATACCCTGCACAGAAGGCAGGCTTCTATGGTGGTAGAACCATCACTAACATTATTGAAACTCTCAGAAAAATGAGACCCTTCATTTTGGGATAAATTTATCAGTTTGGCACCTGTGATGCTCTCTTGGAAATGATCAGCTGGATAAGAACTTGAATCTGTGGATCTAAAGAGCTCCATTTGAATGTGTCTATCCAAATTCAAACTCAACGGGGTTTTCCTTTTGTGGCTCTGAAAATTCACACTCATATTAACAGAGGATGGTTCCATGTTTTCGTCAGGAATGCAGTTCTCATCCACTTTTCTTTCTGGTGTAACACAAAAAGAATATGGATTACAAGAAGGAACATCACATGAAATTGTTTGAGGGATTGATTTGTATGGCATTTGGTTTGACTGCTTTGAAGCATGAACTGTATCCGTATCGATATTTTCAACCTTGACAGTATGAATGGGACAAGTGGTAGAATTTGATTCAGCTAGATTTTCTGTGATTGTAGACTGATCTGGGCTGTCAAAATGTGACACCACATAAGCAGCATCAAAGCACCTGCACCAGGAATTTACAAAGTCGATTATAAACCAAGACCTGCAGTTAAAACAAAAGAAAAAATTACAGAAAGTATACTACAAGTCAATTGCCGATCCCAAATAGTTGGGATAAGGCTCGGATGATGATGATGCTATAACCCAATTGACAACAGTGAAGCATAGCCGATTTAGACCATTATTGCCCTTTGAAATGATGTGATGATGCCGCTAATAGCCTATGCTTTTCTATATTCATATAATCATAATATAGATTCCCATATCTTAAACCATTAGTTGGAGGTATTTACTCAGAATTGCTATGGAGACTATGATATTCGTTGGAGCTATTCTTAGCCTTTTCATCTTCGTGAAATTGTTCTGGGGCCTCAACTTTGCTGTTTTCATTTAATTGAAAAAAAGAGACAACATCATTCTTCAGATCGGTCAAGAATTTGCCCAAATTGCCAGTTTTTGTGTTTGATTCCTTAATGCCTTCCTTGTTACTAGTCCTTGATGTCTTTGGATCAAAACTGCTACCACTTCCATTGTGATTACTTAGGTCATCAGATTCCTTGTTTTTCGTCCTCGGCTTTTTCTTAGTTGCAGCATATGATGTCAAAGGAGATGAATCTTCATCATCTATGACACAAGTTACGATCTCAGCATTTCTAGCAACTGCATGCCTTCTGTGCACCTGCTCCTGTTGCAGGGACCAGATTCCACAATGATTTAGAAGAACAAAGACAACAATTGTGAAAGACCAAATAAAATGAAAGAAAAAAAAAATTCCAGGAAAACGCTACCGTGGAATATAAATTATGACCTCAACATTTAAAAAAAAGTGCTGAAGTCCCTCAAGTGAATTCTCAAAGCTGTCATATCGCCTGATTGACTTCCTCAACCATTTTGAGATATAGTTTAAATTCCCTTCTCTTTTCAATCTTTCATCTGTTTTGAATCAAACAGTTACATAATCAGGTACATGCACAGCAATTAGTATGAATGGAAAATGAGACATATAAAGGCAAGTTTGAAATAATCAAAGACTAAGAAGAAACAAATCTTGATTGGAGAATGGAGTACAAAAAAATCCGGCACAATAAGTAAATGAAAACTGATAATTCACAACTATAATGTCATGAAAAGAAGAACTAAAAAGGAGCTAATTTGGATAAGAAAATAGATACCAAGTAAAATGACGGCCCCATGGTCAAATCTATGCCGTATACAACGTCCTACAAGAAGAATATAGTAGATTTCAGTATACATCTAAACTGTGGATAATTACATATTCAGGCTAGATCTACAAAAGTAACTGCAAATTAATAATTCCCAACTGGATCAGGAAGCCATCATGGCATCGCTTTCAAAGCAACTATACTGGTCACAAAGAACAATGACACATCAATTTGCTACAGTTCTTTAAAAGCAACAGAGAACCGATCATCATCATCATCATCAGAGCCTCTTCCCAACTAATTGGGTCATAGAGAACAGATATTGATAGCAATATCAAACTCTAGTAATTTCTGCATAATAATACAAAACAAAACCAAAATACACACAATGTTTTTATTAATACCCCGGGTATAAATCAAAAGGTTAGGATTGTGAGATATAAATCCAATGCACTATCATACTGCAAGCCTAAGCGTATAATAAATCCAATTCCTTGAGAAGATTTCACATGAATTTTCCCAAACAAAAGGAATGTCGAACAGTTGTTGATTAGAATTTTGAGGGACGAAAGAACCAGGAAAGCAAAGGGATGAGCCAAAGGCGAAAATAGATGTAAAACTATATTAAGCTTATGTCATATGAATTTTAACTGCACTTATCAGCCCAGGTATGCCAAAGATCAGAAAGCCTTCGTCTGCAGGGATATCCTCAACTGTAGGTCAGAAGGTGGTAGAGATCCCAAAGTGCTCTTGCGAGCAACTAAAGGTAGCTCATGGTTGAGGACTTAGGCAAATTTGATGAACTTATTACACAGGTTTCTCTCAAAAACCAAAATTGGGAGCACTTTTTGAAGCATATTCATTGATGTGCATTTCCCTCCTCTCAAAGACGGCATAAAAGTCCAAATTTCAACTGTGCCCAAGTCTTAAGTAAATGCAAGGAGAACCCCCCACCCAAAAAAAAAATCAACAAAGACAACAAAAAAAAAAAAGAGAATTACTATAAAAAGTACATAAAGTTGTAAATCCCTAAAGAATATCTATCTGCCAAGTTCCCAGGAAGGGACATCCAAAGCATCACTAAATTGTACTGTTCTTTCAACAGAAGACTCTATCCAGACATTGTGTGGTTGAGATTTAAATGATTTTTGTCAATACAGCGACAAACACCACCATTTTTATATTTTACAAATGTGGGAGAAGTTGGAGGGCCTGACTGTTTATGCATGGACTAAACAGGCACTGTTTACTCCACATTGAAAGTATATAGAATATACCAAGCCATCATAGCAGTCACTGACTCCTCACAAATCAATCATGTAAAATCATGGTCCACAACACAATAAGGAGAGTTCATGATGCACTTGAATAAACACACTACAATTCATACAAACCATAGTTTCAACTCTCAAAAAGCACAGAGTCGTCGTGGAACCACATGACACTGTAACTCATTATATGACGAATCCAGGCAAAGACAAGATATGAATCACACATGTAGTTATTGGATGCATACAGACAAAGATGCAAAGTAGAGTATGTGTTCAATTGCTAATATCAGCAATGCAAAAACTGTTTCCAAGGACATGAATTAAATAAAAATAGACATGGGAAAGTATTAAAATAAATACCATAAGGAAAAACTACGAAGGAGAACAGGGACATGAAAAGCATTAAATTTTTACTTCAGTAGATACTGATATTGCGATACATTTGTAGCAAAACTAGAAGGCATCTGAATTTGGGGAAAGCTCTCTAGAAAGTAAACACCAAAGCTATACGACTGCCCAAGAACTAAATGGAGTGAAGCATACAATTTTAAATGTGAAGAGAAAACAATCCAAGAGTGGATAACTATTCGGTGCAACCTGTTCTGGTTGTGCTGCTAAAGCATATGTCTATAAATTAAAGGAGGCTGGTTCAATCCATGAAACATGCCACTAAAGTATATCAAGAAGTAAATAGGAAATTGGTTGAATCTATGACGCACCTGCAGCCTGATTCAGAGCACGAAATGCCTGCTGGCAATACCACTCATTTCCAGGGAGAAGCTTTTTTGAATTTCTGTATTTATCATTATAACTCTTCTTCAGCACCACTTTGATGTCACTTCTGCAATAACATAGAACTGAGTTAGCACCAAGTAGCATAAAAAAACCTTCAAAACAAGAGCCTACATTTGGAATCAAGGACACTTACTTGTTGGGAAATGGAATGCCAATAATAATCTAATTTGAGTAAAGGAACACCTAAAATTTTACCACCATGAAAAATTATGAATGTTGATGGGGTGCAGTGAATTAATCAATCCAAACCCATTTATATCAGTGGGTAACAGATTTACATCAGATCTTTTTCTTTTTTTTTGGGTAAATGTTTACATCAGATTTCAATTATCAAGAAACATATGTACGCTGAAGCAAAATAACAAGATATTTTGAGAGAGAAAAAATCAAAGAAATCTGTGAAATTGGAATATGGCATTAAGGATACAACCGCCCGAGCATTTTCATCAGAAAAATTAATCCCTTCAGAGACCTGCAAAAAAACAAAAGGATCAGCGATCTCATCCTGATATGGTACAGAAAATACTGCCAATAAAGTTAGCCAATTCAAAATCTAATAATTTGTGACAAAAGATTAATTAAAAATGTAATCCATTCAAGCTTTTTGTTACATTACAGATGACCAAAGTGCGCCAGCAGCAATAATTAGGAAAATCATGCCATGAATCCTGTGTTCATATTTGACACTTCACAAAGACTCCTGAATTACTAGTTTGTCATGCAATTAAACAAAATCAAAACGTATGTGTCAGAATCACCCACCAACATCTAAGAAGCTTAACAGAACAGATAGAGAAAAGAAGAGAAAGATGCATTAATAATTCAAGTGGGTAAAACAGCACCCATGGCATGTTTCAAGAACTGGGGTTTAGAAATGCATAAGAAAATAAATAAAATGATCCTTTATCAACAAAGAAATGATCTACCATGATCTCAAAATGGTAAAAGAAAATGTACCTTCCCTCAACACTACAATAAAGGGCGTCATGAAGGGACTCATTTATTGTCCTTTTTATCAAGGGATTTAGTTTTTTTATTTTTTTCACTTTTAGGGTAAAATTAGGGTTATTTGGACTTCTAATCATTTTATATTATGTTAGGGTATTTATGTCTTTTGGGTCTCATGCAGAATGCAGTGGCAGTTTGGTCATTTTATAGTTTTTATTTTAGTTAAGGTTATTTTAACCCTTTTTTTAGATGTATTTTAAGTCATTTTTTTAAGTAAAATATGCATAAAAGGAGAGAGGAAGTCCAGCCCTGTAGAGTGGCTGTTTTCGAGAACTTTGTAAAGAAAGAAAGACCCTAGAAAGGGCTTCTTGAAGTCCTTAATTGGAGGGGATATAGAGAAGGCTTGGTAGTACCGGCCAAGGTGTCTGCCTTGAAGGTACTCTTGAATTTCCTCTCTCATACTTCTTTCTTTCCCTTCTTACTTCTTTTCTTTCATTTCTTTCGCTTCTTTCCTCTTTTCATTCCTTTTGCTTCTCATTTGTATCAATTGATTGGACTCCTCAATATTCTTCCTTTATTATCAAAGTTTCTCTTTTTCCTTACTTTTTCTTTTTTCTTTAATTTTTATTAGCTTTTTTTTCCTAGCCTCAAAACCAGCAATTATTCCCCCTTAAAAATCCACTACAACCTTAAAACTAACCCTTAGGCCCTAGATTAACCTAAATAAATCCCGTGAAACCTTAACCCTGATTTCACTTTTAAACTGAAGACCCTAATTTTTCACACCTTATTAACTGCAACATCCTAGAACTAGTTGTGGAGACATTCTGGAATTAATTTAAAATTATTCTACACACTTCCTCTCTCCGTGCTGTGGAAAGTTTTAATTAGTCCGGTATTTGGCTATTTCTCCATAAGGACAGCTTTCAATCTATTACATATTCAAAATTTCATCTCTCAAAAATTAAAATATATTCCTAAAATTGCGTCTTGGTTTTTGTAAGTTTGTTTATTCAGTTCATGAATACCAGCTGAATTTGTAAATATTTAGCCTCAATTTAATTCAAAATGTTCTCCAAAGTGTTTTAGGGCCTTAAAATCAAGAGTGGCCGACCCCAAGTTACATCAAAAAACAAAATCAAAATGCACGTGTCAGCATCACCACACCAATATGTAATAAACTTTACAGAAAAGATGAGGAAAATAACAGAAAGATGCAATACATAATTCAAGTACGCAAAACGTCTTCCATGGCATGTTTCACGAACTGCAGTGTAGAATGCATAAGCCAAGAACTACAGAGTTCTTGGTCTCAAAATGTTAAAAGAAACAATTTCCAAAAGAACTACAATGATCTCGAAATGTTAACAGAAAATGTACCTTGCCTCGACAAACTGCAAGAAAGGCAGCTCCTCCCTTCTGGGGATTTGAAACATACTCATGAGAAAATTGAAATTGTCTGTTGTGACCCTTTTTTAGCTTCCTAGGTACAACTCTTTCGAATCCACGAATTGAATCATAATAGCCCTTGAGAACAGAATGAAAGTCATCTTGACTTCCTCTTGGCTCTAACAAAACACATTCAAGGAAAGCATGTAATCAGCATGTTTGATGACATATTCAAAAGAAAAGGGTGTGGAGATGCCATGGACGAGAATAGGAAGCATTAGTGTCTATTCAAAGCAAAGAAACATTTTTTTCTAAAACATTTCGTCAAAACCTCATAAGATTAATCATTGGGAAGAAAGCAGGAACTCATTTATTAAGCACATTGCTAAATGAAACAGCTATGGGAAAAATTTCTATTCTAATGTAAAAGGATAGGAAGATCCAGGAGTTTCTTAGCACAAGCCAAATGGACTAGGACAAATGTGAATTCACCCCATTCACTCATGCAGGCTGCAACATAAATAAAAGAATAACCATTGTGAATGATCAAGGGTGATAACCTTTTCGTACCATTCTAAATGCCAAAGCAATAGTTAAGAAGTACCAACTATCAACTACAAGTAGACCAAGATTGCAGAACTAGAGAAACTATTACCAACAAATAGAGGTTTTATTGCATTCAGTCGAGACCATTGACCGGTTTGACTCCATCGGCTACTGAGCTTGTCCAGCATCTTATAGCTGGGGAAGAATATGAGAACACCACCAGGGACTATCTTACATATCTCTTCTAAGGAAGAACCAAGTGAATCCTTCATTATCAATTATTGGATAATTAGTTGTCATCTAAATATGCATAAGTTCCCCATAATCAAATACACATGCCACAATACCAGATCAGCATACCTGAAAAGCAAAATCATCCGATGTTTTATAACTAGCATTCAAACACATCTTCCCTGGGCCATGAGAGATCACAGCAGCCCAAAGCTACAAGCAAAAAATCGAAGAAAATGTTCTCAGGGGTCAAGCGACAGAAAGAACTCTTAGTGACACCATCCTCCAGAATATCAGTATCAAAACTTTAGAATCAATGAAATGGACTACAAACCTGAGACTCCATGTCAATCACATGTTGAGCTTCAATGGATATTTCAAATGGTATTCCAAGTTCAGATGCAAAGGAACTCATAGGCGAAAGGGTTCTACATCATTGCAATTTGCAAAGAGAGCATTTAAATCCAATAAGGAGAATAAATCAATGACATTGGTAAACAAATCCTTCTAGAAAAGCGACAAGGTTAGGTTTAAAATAAATGGAAAATAGAAACATGCACATGCACAAACACCTATGTTGCCTGGACACAAGTGTGGGTGTGGGTGTCAAACATGGGCACAGAGCATTAAATTCCAAATGACATGAATGTGTCCAACATGCATGTCAACATGACAAGTTACATGCTTACCAAAAGGTCAAACACATTGATTTCAGACTTTTTTAGAAGATTGAAGATGTATGCATGCCATAGAGACAATTCATTGCCAACTATTACTCTTTATAATGCCACAGAAACCATTTGTAATGCATTGATAAGAGGTGACATGCTTTAAAAAACAAAGCATTATGTGGGTCACAATACAAAAGATGTGACCAAAAAATGTGGGCAACAACACTATCCCAACACTTTTATTTGGGGAAATGTAACAAATATATATACACCCATGCTTGGATCTGTCAGAACTGTATGAACCCTTGTATGGACATCTTGTGTTAAGGCTATTACTAGTATATGGATGCCTACTAGAACACTTCACATAATATAGTTTAAGAGACTAGTTTTTGAGGTAATTACCCAGAGGTAAGAATAACAGACAAACAAAGATCAGCTATTTCTCTAAAGACCACTGCAGGACTAAGGCACCAAAGACAAAATGAATGAGTCCAACCACTTGCAACAAAGCCTGTAAGAGAAGTATCAATAATTTTAGCATTACAGCAATAGAGTGCTAAATGGCATGAATGCTGAGTAAATTGCTTAAACAAAAACAATGTTACAATGTACATGTCTAGACATACATAAAAACAAAATTTAATCCATCCCTCCCACCTCACCCAATTAACTATTTCATTTATAGATGTCTAGATGGCAGAACCCAATTCTAAGAAATCCCATCAATCATTTGCGACTGGTACAAAAACAATCTAAACTACATATAAAATAACTTTCAGCTATTTAGAAAATATAATATGCTACAAAACAAAACAAAAAACAGTCTCTCTGAACACTCCATGAATGACATCCATCCTGTAACTTTTCTTATGCAACACTGTTTACCAACACTTCATCATTTCTTCAAAGAAGTTAAAAATAGAAATAAAAAGCACCAAACAGGCTCATCCACTAAAATACCTCATAACCTACAAAAACAAGACATTTGCAGCTGATCTATACTGAAATTTTAGGAATTCAACATGCCTGGGGCAGTTAGAATCTGTAGATATAAACCCTTCCAAGGTGCAAATGCCTAGTCAACTGTCAAATTCACCTTCTTATAAAATCATCAATTTGGCTTTTGGTGGAGTTCACCTTCACATCAAGGTGTGATTGTCTTTATTTCTTCCTATTGTGTTTTGAGTTGAGAGAACAGATCCGAGTATACACATCAATAAAATGACAGGGTGAGAACGAATGGTGAGTTCCGAGCACGCCAGAGTAGATAGGATGAGATACCAATGTGAAAGACATAAGGAAAAAGAGAGAGAACTGCCTTCAAGACAGTCTGAGAAATAAAAGAACAGGAGCCAAGGGGAAGAGAAATACTACAGGAGATACAAAGGGTCAAGATGAAAAATTAGAAAGATCACAAGGATTCCTTCTCTCTCTTTTTACGGTTCTCTGAGGACAAACCTCATTAGGTAAGCGGATCACAATAAGAAAGGAAACACTAACCTTAGAGCAATAAGAACAAGAAGAAAGAAATGGCCTCCTGGGGGTCCTTGGTGGTCTAGATTCTATACTGTGGGCAAAGGCCCCAAGTATAAGTAGTGTAGAAAAATAGATTACTGAATATAACAAAAACCATAGAAAGCATTCAATTGTAAAAAAGCACGAGAGAATCATGAAGACCTTTAAAAGATCTCCAATGATGAAATAAATACAAAGAAAGGCTATCTTTTTTTTTTCGTGAACTGATACAATTAACTACAAAGAAAACTTATGATAATGAAATGTTGCTTCAACTGTACCCTACCAAAGAAAACATGGAATATATGACCTAATCCGCTACCAAAGAAATAGCTGCATGGGACCACACCTTTCTCAGACTCATGTCGTCTCTCATTTGGCTAACCATTTAATAATACACATTTAAAGCTATATCACACTGTTACTACCAGAAGGTCTCAAGCCCACTCACTGGCATCTCTTTTAACAAAGCGTTGCACGACTAGTTGGTAGTCCGAAGCCTGATTACCATTATCAGAGAAAATATAACCAAGTGAGGAAAATAGGCCTGCAAAAAAGTATCAAGAATAATTGTAAGCACAAAAGGAGGGTATTCAACGAGATAGTTACAAGGTTTCTATGATAAATACCTTCAAGTGTTGCAGCTGACATGCCACTCAAATGAACTCCTTCCATCTCAGCCGCTGCCCTAATTGCCTGGAAAAGCATAATCAAAGGAAAATATGACAATCTGCAAATGAAATGTGAAAGAAATTCAATACACAAAACTGAAATATATCATTTCTTACACAGTTTAAGAACAAACAAAACTGAAACATGTCATCTCTCTGATAGTCAAGTACTGGAATCTTTTGTACCTTTGCAGCACAATCTTGCAAGATCGGGAAGCATTGTTGAGTAACACCAGCTACCTGAAGCTCCCTCAAGGCCTTATCACCAGTCCAACTGCAAAGACAAGTATGCTAGTAACCCCAAATAGTAGCCACATAGAGGAACTGAATAGGCCACAAAAGCTGAAGGGTATACGATTCCAAAGAAACTTCTAACAATTGATGGTAAGAGCTGTCTTTTAAAGTGCACAACAAAATCTATTTTTTCTTTTATAGTAGAAAAAATTATTACTCCACTTGTATGTGGCTCATCAGCATGTATCTAGTAAATATTTTATTTGTGAGTGAAATACTGACAAACTGTCCAAGCCTGTGGTCATCCATTAATAAAACACTTAGCAATATAATCATACAAGAAAAAAACCTCAGGATACCAACCTTGCACGAAAGATTCGACACGATGCCAAAGCGTTAAGTCCTTGATGTATGATTTCATGGAATTTTAGAGTTGAATTAATGAAGAGAAACATCAATACTCCTAAGGAAGGCAGGCGAAACAATTTTGCAGGGTTCAGTGTTTTAAAACCCAAAACAGTGGTGGAACCAGTCACCAGCTGAATCAAGCCGGCTCAGCCAGTTTCGGTCTGGCTCTCCAGTTCTCTAGGAAAATTTTCTACACAAAACAAAAGTAATAAAAAAATTTGGTGGGAACCGAGCAAGTCCGTGATGCCTTTAGACCTAGACAAGTACCCCACCATACTGGCCCAGGCAGTTTCAAGCCCCCTCACCTATTTTTAAAACCATGAGTGGCGCTTTTTATGAGGGTTCTTTTTCCTTTGGATCTTCACTTCTTTTAAAATCCGAAAATCCATTGCCACATGACTGTTGTCTTGCTGTAAACTTTGCAACCCAGCATGGCTTCGTCAAAAGAGATCTGAGACATCAAATTCAGGGCAAAATGGGTCATGGTAACTTAGGTTTTCTCACTTTTATTGAAGGTTGATTCAAAAAGCTTGTAATGCACAATAGTTCGCCATTGCCACCTGTATAGGCTTATTCTTATTTTGTTGTCGGAACTCTCAAGTCATTTCTAGATTCAAACAGGGCCTCTGCCATATTGATTAGATTGACCTACCCTGGTCAATCACCCAAAGAAGCTGTAAATCTAAACAAATGCTTCGTCTCTATTTCCTCCCAAGATTGTATTGGCATTTTCCTATATATTGTGCTCAAGTCAGCTACTTGACCTCTCTAAAATTCTCACAAGTAGATGGCTTAAAATCATTTATCATGAGAAACATAAGCCTCAACTATTATGGTCTATACTCACTCCAAGGGAAATATTACATAGGGGTAGGGGCCCAAATCCCCACTGACCCACTTTTAATTACCCAACAAAAAATTAGGGGCAACAATGACCAAAAATTTAAATGTATACATCTTGCAATTGAGAAACATGTGCCTAATTACTGAAGAAAAACCTCGCCTAATTATTGAAGAAAAACCTCTATAGGCCACAAGAATGAGAAAGCCCCCAACTAGAAAGACCTTCAACAGAATACAAATGGCAAGGACACCAGGTGAAAGAGGCCTTTTAATGTTAGATACTTGGATGAACGATGACCCAAGTGATAAATTAAGGGAAAATATCTCCTTACCCCCTAATTTTAACTTCTCTATCTCTTTAGACCCAAGGATGAAAAATATTACTTGGAAGCAAAGGACCTCCATTTTTCTATCTTGCAACCCCCTGAAACCTTTTTTTGATGAATTTTTTACCCCAATAAAAATCAAAATGACATCCTGTCTTGCAAAAGCTTCATTTGTGGGTTTTTTTAGAGAGAGAGGGAATGATCTCTCATCCTTGGGTCGCTCTCTCTCTACCCACCTCTCACCCCCCCAACCCATCTCGAATTCAAGCCAAGACACCTTAGAGTCTCACATTTTTGGGGTTGGCAAACCTTCCTCTCTCATCAAGGAGAGAGATCCACCACCCATCTGACCAGACTCCATAGAAGTGCTCAAGAGAATCATTTCTCTCTCTTCTTGTTCTTCTCTCTAACATCTTGAGGAGAGAGAAGCACCCACAACCCACTCGTGAAAGAAGTTCTTCCTCTTCTCTCTCACCACATTGAGAGAGAAGAATTACCCACAATCCCAACATGTAAGAAGCACCTCTCTTATGAGGAGAGAAAGGAGAGAGAGGAGAGAGAGAGACTGAATCAGGTAAAATATGGGTGGGTGGGCAATTGCGATTCATGGTGGCGTAGGGATCGACCCGAGCTTGCCGCTGCAGTGCCAAGAAGAGGCCTGCCAAGCCCTTCTCTCCGCTCTCCATCTCGGCATCTCTGCCCTCCGCTCTGCCTCCTCCGCCGTCGATGTCGTAGAATTAGTGGTCAGGGAACTCGAATTAAACCCCCTGTTCAATTCAGGTCGTGGATCGGCTCTGACAGCGCAAGGAACGGTGGAGATGGATGCTAGCATTATGGATGGCTCTACGAGGAAGTGTGGCGTTGTATCGGGGATCTCCACTGTTAAAAATCCGATCTCTCTTGCCCGCCTGGTCATGGACAAATCACCCCATGCCTATCTTGCTTTTGATGGAGCTGAAGCCTTTGCAAGACAGCATGGTACAGAGATTGTGGACACAATTTTTTTCATTACAGAGGAGAATGTTATCAGATTAAAGAAAGAAGCACCTCTCTCTCACCCAAGTTGATGAGAGAGAAGAAATATCTGCAACCCCACCATGAGAGAAAATCTTCTCTCTCTACCATGTTGGTGAGAGAGAAGAAAAACCCACCACCCAATAATGACAGAAAAGCTTTTCTCGTGAAGATAAAGCGACAGCGAGAGATCATTCTCCCTCTCTCTCTAAAAAAACCCACAAACGAAGCTTGCAAGATAGTATGCCATTTTAATTTTTATTGGGGTCAAAAATTCATCAAAAAAGGGATTCAGGGGGTTGCAAGATAGGAAAAATGGAAGTCTTTTGCTTCCAATTAATATTTTTCATCCTTAGGTCCAAAGAGATAGAGAAGTTAAAATTAGGGGGTAAGGAGATATTTTCCCATAAATTAATGGGCATGATGATGACATTCATAGGCTTTAAAAAGCAATAAGTGACATTGCTAATAAGTTGGGTATGGGAGTTAACGTGAAAATATTGAGCTAGTGCATGGCTTGATATTGAATGAAAGTAAAATATACAGGAAATTCATTTTCTCGTTTGTATCACAAAATACCAAATCTCGATCAGAACTGAATATGAAACCAAAACTATTAACTTCTGACATACAAAAATCTCCCAATCAAGGTTCTAAGAACTCATCCTTCACTACATGATAAAACTGTAGATAGTCACTAATCTATCATATCGATATTTAGTAGATACAATATTCATAAATAATAACATAACTATCGCCTTAAATAAAAGCCAACTTCGAGTCTACTTAATGAAGAAAAAATAAAAATCAGCACAAGATCAGTCGTCTAACAGACATAGCCGAGTCACTCATAGCCTTGGCTGTGTCTGTCAAATAAACTTATTATAGAAGAATGGGAATCAACAAAACTTGGTCAAATCCCTCGGCCATTGTACCAGACTCAGCAAAGTAACTTTCCAGATTCCCAGATGATGTAAGGCGAGTTTTCAAACGTTCAGCATAAGATACAAAAAACAAGGGTGGAGAGAGCAAAGATGATAACATTAATAAATAAATTTCACAAGGGAAAGCCACCAGAAGCAAGAAAATTCGAGAAGATTTTGTAAGAGAATTCCCCAACTTTATGGGGTATTTTAGGTTTAAACTTTGTAGTCGATTTACAGAATTGGATTCTTAATTTGTACAGAAGATTTAAGGTTTAGATTTTTTGGGAGGTTGATTGTAAATTATAATGGAGATGCATGGGACTAATGAGAAATTTCGATAGGGTATTTAGGGTTGGTTTTTCCCGGATATTTACCAGCATGGTTATGTAATTTTATGGGACAGTTAGGTTAATTGGCAAGTAAATGAAAACTAAAGAACTGGGTTTTAATATTTCACGTAATGCATCATAAAGAACTGACTAGTTAATATGCCGGCAACATGGTGAAAGCCATACATGTAGAACCTGTGTGCTGAACCCCTGGAGAAAGGTTACTAAATTAGCCCCAGCGAAAGTTGCTTCAGTCAAAGTTCGGGTACAGAGGTGGGGCCAACATGCACTGATCAAGATCCGTATATGAAAATGCAACATAAACATTTCTAAACGGCTGGCACCCTTGTCTGTCTAGTATCCAGAATCCAGCCAATGATCAACATTAACACAAACTAGTTGGTATAACACCAATAAAATGGGAAGGTTAGTTACAACCAATATGCTCAGAATCACCTCCATTTGCCTACCTCCAACCAAAAAGAAAAGGGTTAAAAAACAAACTGACATATTATTACTCAGAAATTTAACTTGGACAAGGCATCCTTTTATTGACCAAGAGTCTTAATTAAGAACTACTGCATACAGATAAGGCAACGGCAAGGGTCATTGGTACGTTGTTCATGATTTTACTTACCATGAGTAGTGGTGCTCAAATTCATGTTTCTCCAAGTTAGATTTCCTCTCAATAATCCAAGTGATCAATCCCTGCAAAATTTAGAATTTCTCACCGCGTTGAATCGAACATTTGTAAAAGAAATAGACTGAAATTCTAATAAAGCACTATTATACCTGAACCATGTCAAACAAAGGCTGATAAATAGATGCAACACCTTCAATTATGATCAACTGTTCTAACTCCTTCAGCAAGGCTAGAGTAAGGAATAACAACACCACCACATCAGTTCCAGTAGAAACAAGTCATCTCATCAATGTTGGAAAAACCGGGCAATCTAACCGCTAACCGCCCAATTGACCGGTTCCGGTTTTGAGCGGTTTTGGTGATCGACCGGTATTTAAAAAAAAAACATTCAAAAAAATATATATAAATTCCCAAAAATAAGGAATTTGGTTTGTAATGCATTTTTTAATATTCTTTACATTATGGTAAAGATTAAAATTTGTTTTGGTCATTAATACTCACTTTATTTCAAAAATCCATTGTTAAAATCCATTTTTTTCATTAATTTTCAATTTTATTTGAATGTGTCTTGTTTTAATCATTCTTTATATGCTTTTCATATTGTAGTAGATTTTCTTTTTGTCCTTTTTATTTTTTCAACACTTTTTTGACCTCCCGGGACTTGTCCGGTTAGAACGGTTGAATCAGCCGGTTTACCAGTTAGGCCAGTTAAACCGCTTCCGGACCCATATCCAATTAACCGTTCCGGTTTGATTTTGCGAACACTGCATCTCATAAACATTAGCACACCACCAACAAGTTGAATATCTTGTAAACTTACTGTCTAGAATCTCTTCTTCAACATCCAGACTACCAGCTTCCCGAGCCATATCCTCTATGTTGCTGGCACATACAATAAAGTTAGCCAATATCCAAATACATAAAAAAATTTATGATGACACTATTAATGAGGTCATCAACTAATTGATGGCATTCTAGAACAAATGATGACAGTCGTACTAGTCCAATAAGTTAGCAAAAAGAAAATGAAAATAACACTCGATATTTCAAGACTCAGCCCAGTCAACTTGGACTCGACTGAGTTACTCAGCCTCAACATTGTGCTAGGGCGAGGTGTACAACCTCGGTACAACTCATATACGGAATAAAAGGGTATACAGAATTAAAGGGGGGTTCATCTCTCTCTCTCTCTCTCTCTCTCTCTCTCTCTCTCTTCTCTCTCTACTACTACGTACGTACCTACCTACCTACCTCTACCTCCTCCTCCTCCTCTCTCTCTCTCTCTCTCGTCTACTACTACTACTCTCTCTCTCTCTCTCGTACGGTCGTACGTCTCGTCGTCTCTTC